TTTTTTTCTCTTAAGTCTATTTTTCTATCTTAAATTTATTTTTATTATTAGTAGTTGTAGTTGTATTTTCTGCTGTTTAACTCACATTGACCATTTCTCCCGAGATATAATTGTCGGAAGCTTTGATCAATTTTATTGAAAAGAGAATGTGATTGTAGTGACATTTTATTTTTTCTCTCTCTCTTTCTCTCTCGTTTATCCTTTTTGTTTGAATTAAGCCCTGTTTTTTGTTGTTGTTTTTTCTGTAGAATAGTTTGTACATAAGTGTCTGTCCCCTGAGTTATTTTTAGGTTTGCATTTTGAAACATTGATGAAATTGGCTTCCTTTACAATGAAGATTGATGATGATACACAAAATTGTATGAGTTCATGGCACTGGCTAATATAATGATCATTTAATTTTTGTTGTCTTGTTTCTTCTACACGTTGAGAGTGGAAGAGCTTTGAGATTTTCACATTTTGGGTTGGAAGTGAAGCAAGAAATTGTCTTATTTGAAAGGTAGCTTCATATATGCATTGGACGTCTTCCAGATTGCAGGAACTTTTCTTTCCTTTTCCCTTTCTTTGCTTTATTTGTATTTCTCTTCCACAAAAAGTAATTTGCACATGTGTTGATTTACACAAGTCCTTAGATTTGTTGTCTTGTTATTATCAGAGAGCTTGGAGAAGAAAAAAATCTGCCAATCTATTTACAATTGCTATTTTGTAAATGTTCCATGATCTCTTACAATGAACTAGCATAGTACATGAGTTTTTAGTCAACTGGAAACAAAATGGTATTGTTATTAAGTTGACGGATCAGGTCAGGTCAGGTCAGGTGCATTGTATAGATCAGTAACTCTACAAGTTAAAAAAAATAAAAAGAAAAAATAGAAATTATGAAATATATTTTGTATAAAAACTGGAAATTAAATAAAAAAGTTTAAGAAAATGTATTTTCATTAACCAGATTTGGGTTCATCAGGGCTGTTCATATTTCAGTGTGTTTTTAACACACTATCTGTGAAAAGTAGTGGTGCTTATTTGAACTGGTCTTTTTTTCACATGAAGTTTCATGTAGACAATGTAATGACAAAAGAATTCTCAAATACACAGACAAACAGATCATTAAATACTTCAAGATGTAACAAAAGGAGGCTATTAACAGCCAATAATCTTTTCAAATTTATTCCAATAAATAACCACCTTACATACAGGAATGGATTTTTGAATCTCATTCCGTTCCCCCAGTGAACTTAGTAGCATTACCTATTCTCTGAGCTCTTTTTGACGACATCCTTCATAGCCTGTGTGACCTTGAACATTGGTCCATGACCTGGCACAATATAGTCCGCCATAAGAAGCACTTCATTGCGGTGTTTCTCCTGGGACTCCATGTTCTCACTCCCTGCCACATATTTCCAAAGTGATGGGTCCTCTACATCATCCTCGCGTTCAAAGAGGTCTCCTTTTTGGAAAAAAAAAAAGTATGATATGAGTGTGATTTGTAATGATAATGGTTTGTGCTCATAAAGTGCAAATTGCCATCCTAGTTACTCATTTTTAATCCATAGGTCCCATATACCAGATACATGTACAGTCCACTGTGGTTATGTTTTATTAATATTGTTTATATATGGATGGGTTATCAAGTGCTTGGTCACTACAATTACTAGGCCTACCTGATTTTACCTGTTAACCCTATTCCCTGAATATTCTGGATTCTTTTCTCTTAGTATTATTACGGTCACTAACATTATTATTAACATCTCTGCATAAACAAAATTATGAAAAACCCAATGTTTGAAACTGAGAAGAGAGGAAAGACAATATGCTGGTCATAATTATGGATATAAATCAGATCTGATGAGATCAAGTTCAGAGACAACATTTTATCTAATAATCAGCCACTGTTATTTTATAGAAATTAGAGATTCAGTAGTACCTGACAAATCCTCTAGTTCTAACAAAACGTTTCTAATACTTTCCTTTCTTCCAATGCATTATCAAATCCTTATGTTATAACTGTCACCTTGCACATAATACTCAACCTGCAACAACAACTGTGCCGAATTCTGCCGTCTTGACAACCACACTTACGTCCGCAGACGTATGGCCAGGGGTTGGGATTACTTGAAGGTTGTCATCAATTTTGAATGGTTCTCCTGTTGGAGTAATGGGAAGAAGAAAACATTTGTGATGGAATGTGGAATTTATAAGAAATTCTGTATGTGGATATATCTATGAAATATTTAAACATATTAATATAAAAAAAAATATACAAATATACATTTAATATAAAATTATAAAAATAGATATATTTGTGTGTTGGGGCATGCGCACACATTTAACCATTTTATAAAAAAATACATATAAAAAATGTAAGCTAAAAAACACATTTGACGAGGAACACCATTTTCTAACTCCAAGATAGTAAACAATACTATTATATAAAAAAAAAACATTCACTATCTATCACATACACCATCATACCTGTCTCAAAAGGGTGTATGAAGAAGATGTCCCCAAAGGACACTGTGTAACCTACGATATGTTTGGCTTTCGTGAACAAGTTCAGGTTGCCAAGGTGGTCCGAGTGGCCATGCGTTCCTATTGCATAATGGATGTCCTCACACTTCACATCATTGTCTGCAAGAGCTGAAAGAAATATGGAAGGGATAATAGAAGGAAAATCAGCTTGTATAGTAAAGTTCTAGAAAAAAGAACAGAAAAGGACCAAACATCAAAAAGAAAAGGCCAATTTCAAGTTCATAATTTAGTAAACATGATCCTGTGTGTGCTTCTGTACTATGACAGACCAAAGTAACAGCCTTTACCCCACTGGTACTACAAAACAATAATTCACATGAAATGCAAATTGTCGTAATAAAGCCATATCCTTCAAGTACCATTCTTTACTTTATAAGCCATTCATGGTTATTCATGTATCACTATATAATCGGAGTTGCAAAACAATTACCAATATACATAAATAATTTAAAAATTGAATATGGATGTGTATTCTTGCCACTATATACAAATTGTGCAAGAGCATGCTTATCTGACCAGCTTGCACCGTAACTGATACTGCTTCCATGAATTTCAATTTATTTTCATATTTATCTCCGACTGTGTTACACATACTAAATGGATGTCTATATTGAATGAATGTCTGTTTACTTGTTTATTAATTCTTAATTTTAACAAATTTTATCGTAAACGTAAAAGGAGCAATTAAATGATAAATACCGTCATTATAGTTGATATAAACTACGATATCTAGCTTTATAAAAAATAATACCTTGCTCAAGTAAAAAAAAATACAAGAACGTTCTATAACAAAGATAATTAATCTGCGGTTTGCATAAAATCAGAGCAGAGGAGTGTGCCATTCATTACCTGAGACAATTTTATCTCTGTCCCAAGCTGTCATTGTGTCAATTATCATGTTATTTGGTCCTTTGATCAGCGTGCATGTGCAGTTGGCCCTCATGGATCCCTTCTCCATCCGTGAATATCCATCGTAGAGGACTTTTAAGGAATAATTAGAAGAAGGAGAGAGAGACATGTTTGTTTACAAACAAACGGTATTCGGAAATCACTTGAGAATCTTTCTTAATTGGGATTATATACGCGATTTCATTGATCCAATCATCCGGAAGTGCTAGGGTTAAATGCATTATGCTATAATTTGGCATTCATATTAATTTTGTGGGATAGAATAAGATGTTGGAGCTAATATGAAAAAACAAACTCAACTTGACCAATTATATGGCAAAAGTAATCTTTTACGTAAGAAAAAATGATTTCTAATAAGAGGAGCTTGCGTGCCCGCAAATAAAAAAAAACACGTAGATTCATATACAAAGAATTCAATACTCTCTATTCAAAGATTTTTTATCACAGAATTAATAAGATTTATTTTTAATACTATTACTATAAGGTGCTTGCGCACAATACGGATTACTCTTGCCTCCCGGTCCCCGGTGGTGTCAGATGTATAATAAGTAGGAAGGCTCACTATTCCTCGATATCTTGTCTGTATATGCAATGACGCAATATGTAATTATGCATGTGCACAAATATGATACATGAAAAAGTACGCACACACATACGTACAATGATATGTGTATACACACACACACACACACACACACACACACACACACACACACACACACACACACACACACACACACACACACACACACACACAACACACACACACACACAAACACACACACACACACACACACACACACACACACACACATATATAGATAGATAGATAGATAGATAGATAGATAGATAGATAGATAGATAGATAGATAGATAGATAGATAGATAGATAGATAGATAGATAGATAGATAGGTGTGTGTGTGTGTGTGTGTGTGGAAAAATGTATATCGATACGTATATACATATATATATATATAATATATATATACATATATATATGTATGTATGTATGCACACACACACACACACACACACACACACACACACACACACACACACACACACACACACACACACATATATATATATATATATATATATATATATATATATATATATATATATATATACATGTTACACACACAACACACACACACACACACACACACACACACACACCACACACACACACACACACACACACACACACACACACACACACCATATATATATATATATATATATATATATATATATAATGTATTGATATATATTGTTATATATATTATTGTGTATGTATATGCATAAATACGCGAGTGTTATGTAAAAATACCTTATACATGCATTTGTCAGTAAAAAAGCTGACATACATACACACTTGAATTTGAAAAAGAACATCTTATGTATCCTATGGATAGTTTTAAACAAATTTACCAAAGCCATTCATCAATACAAAGCCAATAAAAGAAAGTTACACAATCCTTTTTGATCGAGTACAACACTTCTCTTCACATCCGAGATTTTCCAGTTACTACCGGAGTCCAATGCGTATTTTGTTTAGTATCTCGAGAACAGTGAGAGTGATATCTTGTCAAAATGATGCGCTCCGGCAAACTTCTTTGGTCCCTTCCCACCTCTAGATTTGCCAATGGATTGGCCCCGGCTGCATCTAGGTGAGCTTCAGTAATATAGAAGACCATTAATTTTGTGTAAAAGAAAGCAATTAAATGCTTAAATAGGGCTGGACAACTTGGGTACGTTTGCGTCGTGTCTAGTCTGCTCAGCTGATCGGCCTCCGGGGATGGCCTTCACTAATGACCTAATTCTCCTTTTTCTGTACTTTCCGGGTGTCTTGTGGACGAAAGGACTTCAATTCCTTTTACAGTTATTCAATCTTAATAGCAAAGCCGTTTTAAAATTAAACTCTTTGCCGGATTTTCTTTTATCGTGTCTTGTTATGCGGGGTTTCGTAACTTTCCTTTTCATTGTTATTGTGTGCTTGTGCTTGTAGTCCTAACGGTGCTTTATCCTTGAGTGACAGGGGACCAGAAGTGTCCTTTGTCACATAGCAACAGTCAAAGTAGGCCAAAACGATCCCGTGATTCTGGGATAGAGGGAATATCGATTCAGAATACGGAAATCGCTTATATATACATAGGTGTCTTATGGTTTACTTCTATTTTACTTATGTTAACATAGCAGAGAGAAATGAGGATAAGAGATAAGAGAAATGAAAGGGAAGAAAGGAAGGTGAAGAGAAAGAAAGGTAGTGTTACTAAAGAGGTAGTTAATGTATTTTCTCCATGAAAAAAGTCATATTTGGAAACCAACATCAGGGGTCATATTGGCCTGAGAGCTGGGGAGGTTAAGAAAGTGGATTGAGACAGAGAGGACGGAGGGCATTATGATGCGTTCGGAACCCCTCATCTTGCTCGACCAGAAAACTTGTCAGGACCAGCAGGACAACGAGGTCGCTTTCAGAACCTTCAAGGCCTTCACTGCCCAGAATGCAACCAGCTTGAAAGTAAACATTCACTCTTTTATCTTACCGATGTCTTTATTTTACATGCTGTATAGGTTTTGTAATTCCTTTGATGCATATTTAACTTGCCTGCAACTTACAAACACAAAAATATCCATTGATAACATCAATAAAGGGCCATAAATTTACCCATCATCTTGCAGTTGCCTGCAATTGTCAGTGTTAACATACAAATACTATTGTGACATCTCATCCGGCTTGCCCAGCTTCACAGGAATGTGAGATGAACAACTTGTCCAGGATGAGAAAGTAGAAGTTCTGAATGGACAAGACATCTTGTCCGACTTGTCTGGATGAGCAGGATGAGGAGTTCTGAATGCAGCATCAGAGATCATTGAGGGAGGGCAGGAAAAGAGACCAAGGGAGGAGGGAGGGAAATAGAGACTGATGATGGAGGGAGGGAACAGAGAGCAAGGGAGGAGATAGGGGAATAGAAACCAAGGGAGGGAAGGGGGATAGAGAAGCAGGGAGGAGGTAGACGGATATAGACAGAGGGAGGTAGAGGGATATAGACAAAGGGAGGGAGATAGGAGAAAGGGGGATAGGGACGGAGAGAAGAAGCAGAAAGATGGTTTGATAAATGAGAGGAATGGGTAGCACTGAGCAAGAGACAGACATTTCAGCCATACATTTTCTGTGTTCATGAAAATTTTGAAGGATACACAGCATTAACATGCAGGATAAAAACTTGAGACATATTAAACAGTTAGGCTAATCGTGTAGTCCTGACGTGGCACATGCTCGTCCCTGCCTGAGTTAATATTCTGTTCACAATTCTCACTAATGCAGTGACTGTTTAGCTGCATTTGAACAAGAGAAATATCCTTGGCTTGTTTGTAGAGATCCTGCAAATGTTAGATGTCTATTCCTAGTTCTTACTGTGTCCTTGTATTCTCATTCTGCTTCTTTCTCTTCCTTCTTCTGCTCCTTCATTATCTTTGTCATTTTCATTTTTGATATGTTCCTTTATTTACTCCTATTCCCTGCTTCTTCTTCTTCTTTTCTTTCTCCTTCTTTCTCTTCTTTTCTCTTCTTTTCTCCTTTTCTTTTCTTTTCCTTTCTTTCCTTTCCTTTTCCTTTCCTTTCCTTTCCTTTCCTTTTTCCTTTTTCCTTTTTCCTTTCCCTTTTCCCTTTTTCCTTTCCTTTTCTCCCTTTCCTTTTTCTTTTCCTTATTCTTATTCTTTTATTCTTATTCACCACCACCACTACTCAACCACCAGCACTTCTCCTCCATTGCTCCTCCTCCTCCTCCTCCTCCCTCCTCCTCCTCTTCCTCCTCCTCCTCCTCCTCCTCCTCCTCCTCCTCCTCCTCCTCCATCTCCTCCCTCCTCCTCCTCATCTCCACCTCTTCTCCTCCTCCACCTCTTCTGCCTCCTCTTCCACCTCTCCTCCTCTCTTCCACCACCCTCCACTCTCCACCTCTCCTCCTCCTCCACCTCCTCCATCCTCCTCCTCTCCTCTCCTCCTCCTCCTCCTCCTCCTCTCCTCCTCCTCTCCTCCTCCTCCTCCTCCTCCTCCTCCTCCTCCACTACTCCACCTCTTCCACCTTCTCCTCCTCCTCTCCTCCTCCTCCCTCCACCTCTCCACACCTCTCTCCACCTCCTCCTCCAACCTCCTCCACCTCTTCCTCCTCCTCCACCTCTTCCACCTCCTCCTCCACCTCCTTCCACCTCTTCCACCTCCTCCTCCACCTCTTCCACACCTCCTCCTCTCTCCACCTCCTCCTCCTCCTCCTTCTCCCTCCTCCTGCGCTAACACCTACTTGTCTTTTTTTTCTCTTTCATTTTCTTCTTGAACATTTTTGTTGTTTACATAACAGCATGGATTCAGGATATGACAAGGTAATGCTGAGTCATATTCCCAGAGTCCACGAGAGGTCCTCCTCCATCTGTTTTTGTACTCTCATCCTTTCCTTCAGTAACTGGGAGAATAATATCAATTTTTGAGTTATCGCTAGAGATTTTTTTTTTTTTTTTTTCACCTCCGAAAATGTCCCCCCCCAACAATAATTTCTCTGAAGGATTGAAGCGATGAGGACAACCTCCCCAGTTGGAAGAAAGAAAAAGTATCTGAAAGATATTCTTGTTGCTTCCATAAAAGAAAGAAAAAATGGAATGGAGGAACAACAAGCCGAGTCATGTACCCCCAGGGCATTGGATAACTTTGTTGACTTGTGGTTCTTCAGCTTTGGTTTAAGGCGGCTCTTAGCTCTTGCGTACCAAGGGGAGTGTTTCTCTCTCTCTCTCTCTCTCTCTCTCTCTCTCTCTCTCTCTCTCTCTCTCTCTCTCTCTCTCTCTCTCTCTCTCTCTCTCTCCTCTCTCTCTCTCTCTCTCTCTCTCTCTCTCTCTCTCCTCTCTCTCTCTCTCCTCTCTCTCTCTCTCTCTCTCTCTCTCTCTCCTCTCTCTCTCTCTCTCTCTCTCTCTCTCTCTCTCTTCTCCTTCTCCTACTCCTTCTCCTTCCTCTCTCCTACTCCTTCTCCTCTCCTTCTCCTTCTCCTCTCTACTCCTACTCTCCTTCTCCTTCTCCTTCTTCTCCTTCTTCCTTCTTCTTCTTCTTCTTCTTCTTCTTCTTCTTCTTCTTCTTTTCTTCTTCTTCTTCTTCTTCCCTTCTTCTTCTTCTTCTTCTTCTTCTTCTCTTCTTCTTCTTCTCCTTCTTCCCCTTCTTCTTCTTCTTCTTCTCTTCTTCTTCTTCTTCTTCTTCTCTCTTCTTCTTCTTCTTCTTCTTCTTCTTCTTCTTCTCCTCCTCTCCTCCTCCTCCTCCTCCTCCTCCTCCTCCTCCTCCTCCTCTTTTTTAGGAAGACTCATTCAGTTCTTCCCTATGCACAACTTTAGCCCAGTTACAGTCTGTGGTAGAGTTCAATGGCCTTTGCTTTATTTATACAAGGAGTAGCTTGTAAATCCTTGGCATAGAGGTTTTGTATTCATTTTTATTGTCAGTCAACCACAAATGATTTGATTTGGGGATTGTATCATTCAGCCATGTTATTTCATTCAAGGTTTATATTTCATCATTAATATAAAGAAGTTGTGTGGGGATGATAATATTGTGAAATCTATAGATGGGAAAATAGATGTATAATAGATAATAGAAATGAGCATTTTTAGATTGATTATATCTCAATCTCAATCTCAAAGTTTTATGCGTAGGGCGCTAAGTGAGCGCATAACACGCATATTAGTAGCGATTGGTTGCTGGGGGAAGGGGGGAGGATCAAGGTGCAAGCGGAATGTTGTTTAACAAATGCAAAACATTCTTAATTTTATTCCTCTCGGCCATTATTGTATGAAAAAACAGTACTTTCAAAGTGGTATGCCTTCATGTTGGGTACATCTCTTCAGTTACTATCTTAAGGTATCATGACTGAGCAATTTGCATTTTATCAGATTTTGCAAGTATTCAATTGATTATATATACGAGTATTCATAATAATTTTTACACTGATATATACTTTTATTAATACATGTTACCGTGTATATATGATACGTGTGATGAAAAAGACAAGAAACAGGTTGCCAAACAGCGAAGGCCTCACAAATATCTGAGCTGAACCTTATGAGAAGGATGAGGTAGATGGCCCCTTGCCAGTCATGTGAGATGCACAACGACGACAGGTAGTCTCTGGAGGAGTGCCAGTGACATTTGCCAAAGGGAGGTGGGGTGGGATTAGAGGGGTCACAGGCAGATTTTTTTTTTTTTTTTCGTCTTCTTTGTCTTATTTCTTCTTCTTCTTCTTCTTCTTCTTCTTCTTCTTCTTCTTCTTCTTCTTCTCTTCTTCTTTGTCTTCTTCATCTTCTTCATCTTCGTTATTGATAGGGATTTTGGGAAGCTATTACGCAATACAAATTCTTAATTACGCAACAGTCTGGACAAGTCAGCTAATCAGCCACAGGGTCATGGATCTGTGATGGGTCAACAGGTTTAATCGCACTGATGTTTTATATCAGATTTTTTATTTTTATGTTCGCAAGATGTTTTCTTTTGCGTAGTTATTTGAATTACAATCCTACATATCTCCTTCTCTCTCTTCTCTCTCTCTCTCCTCTCCTCTTCTCTCTCTTCTCTCTCTCCTCTTTCTCTCTTCTTCTCTCTCTCTCTCTCCTCTTCTCTCTCTCCTCTCCTCTTCTCTCTCTCTCTCTCTCTCTTCTCTCCTCTCCTCTCTCTCTCCTCTCTCTCTCCCTTTCTTCTCTCTTCTCCTTCTCTTCTCTTCTCTCTCTCCTTCCGCTTCTCTTCTCTTCTCTCTCTCCTCTCTTCTCTTCTCTCTCTCCTCTCTTCTCTTCTCTCTCTCCTCTCTTCTCTTCTCTTCTCTCTCTCCTCTCCTCTTCTATCTCTCCTCTCTTCTCTCTCTCTCTCTCCTCTTCTCTTCTCTCTCTCTCTCCTCTTTATCTCCTCTGTTGCTCTTTCTCTCCCCCTCCCTCTCCTTCTCTCCCCCCACCCCCCTGCCTTCCTTTCTTATTCCTCTGCCTTTCTCTCTCTTTCCATCTATCCTCCCAAGAATGATCGATTACGCACTGTTGATCCAGGTCTCTTATCTAATCTGGGCTTCACGTAAGGCACTTATTTTGTCTTACGCAAAATGTGTACCTTGACCTGTTATTAAGAGCAAGTTTGATAAGTTTTTATCACACTGGATGAATGTATAAATATGATAAGAACTCATGGGTTAAATGCAGGTGAGATTTTTTTTTTTTTTTTTTTTAATATGGGAATTTATCTTATCCTGTTTGGAAGAGGAATGACCTTAGACAAGGCAGAGAAGAGGATATGATGATGATCATGATGAGAAGGAATTCAATTGAGCTATGTGTGTTGCATATCCAAACATTATTTTAAAATATTAATATCATTGGTTTGTATTTTCTCTCTCTCTCTCTCTCTCTCTCTCTCTCTCTCTCTCTCTCTCTCTCTCTCTCTCTCTCTCTCTCTCTCTCTCTCTCTCTCTCTCTCTCTCTCTCAAAGAAGGGCATTATACCTTGCTGTTTATGTGATAAAAATTCCTTTAAAAACTTTAGACTTTCTTTCCTTTCATCTCCTGTCCACTCCTCTCCTAATGACAGTTCCTTTCTTACAGGCTGCAGTCTACAGCAGCCCAGCCAGCAGCCTCAAAGGCCCCTGCAAAGGAGCGCAACATGGCCAAAAAGATAGAGGTGAACAAGTCCTTCGTGATGAACATGTTCCGTGGGGCAGCCGTCACCGAGCAGGCCATCCCTTACCCTTACACCCTGTCAGAGGAGCAGAGGGAGACACTGGAGATGCTGGTTGACCCCACTGAGAAGTTCTTTGAGGTGAGGGGTCCAGGAGAGGGGAAGGGTTTTGAGTGGTTTGGGGTTTTATTTGATTTGACATTTACCCTGAAACAGATTTGTCTTCTTATGACTTGAAAATGCAGGAAGACAGGTGTGCAGATTGCATTCTCGACTTTATTTGATGCGACTTTATGTGATGGAGATGCTGGTACATCCCTGAGTGAATGAAATATGTATTTTTAATAATCATTCCAGTTACCTAAGGTTATGTAAAATGGTAAAGAATAAAGTGTAATGATAAATATTCACCTCCTATATTTTTCAACTTTTTTTTCTTCTCTCTTTGGAATGCTGTAGGAGGTCAACGATCCTGCAAAGAATGATGCTTTGGAGAAGGTCGAAGATCACACTCTGGAAGGACTGAAGGAGCTCGGAGCCTTTGGTCTTCAGGTCAGTACCTCAAGCACAAGTTCCTGCACTCAGATAGGCCACCTCTAGCCACCGAGTCTCACATTGGTAACATTTTAATTACACTCCTGGGGCAATGCACATCTTGGCTGCAGACCCTTTTGTATGCCTGACCCTCCCAAGCTCAGACAATGGTTCAGTTTTTAAAGTTTTGCCAAGGCAGATTATGATTGCTGGTTCTTTCAAGAGCTTTAAAAGTTTTGCACCAGAAAATGTATATTGCTTTGTCATAAAGCAAATGCATAGTGTGTGTATGGATGAAAATTTTGATAAATTAACTATAACCGTGTAAATAAAATGTACTTAAAGCAAAGAAAATTATATATACATGAATTTTTTCATATAAAGCAGTCATATATGCATTCCCAAATATTTATAAGTATTTAGTTTTATCAAAAAGAAGCTTCTTCTTTTTCTTTTCTATCCTCTTTTCTTTTCTTTTTTCTTTTCTTTTTTTCTTCTAATATTGATATTGATACCATGAAGGTCAATACCTCAGTACGACTTTTATACCATTTAAGAAAGATCATCAAAATGCTACGAACATCATTATCATTACCACGCAACTAATACTCTGATTAATTTTCCAGGTACCGGCAGAATTGGGCGGAGTGGGGCTGACCAACACACAGTATGCACGTCTGGTGGAGATTGTGGGATCACACGACCTTGGAGTTGGCATCACTCTGGGCGCTCACCAGTCTATTGGTTTCAAGGTGAGTGGATGGGGAGGACGCGGGCACAGTCAGCTCAAGTTTCATTTGATTTCTTGCCTTGTCTCATGGTCTTTCTTTTTTTTTTTTTTTTTTTTTTTTTTTTTTCTGATTTATTTTTGAATTTCTGTCTATTTCTTTTTCTTTCTTTCTTCTTTTAGTTTGTATCTTGTCTAGTTTTAGATTTTTTTTTTTCTCTTTCTTTTATTTTTTTTTTTTTTTTGGTCACCTTTTGTTATTTATTTCTTATCTTGTTTTCTCTCCTCTCCTTCTTTTATTCACATCCCCTGGCTGTTTTCTTCTGGTGCTTATTATAAGGTTTTCTTGTTTTTAATTTATTAAACCATTTTTTTTGGTGTATATTATTTTTTTGTTGTAAAATTTTGAATGTTGTATAATTTTATATAACATTTGCATAACTTTCACTGTTTTGTAACGCATAATTAAGTAACTCTTACCCAAAATAATGCAAAACTCTAAATATTATTAAAGTCTTGAAAATAATAATAGATGTTTTATTCCTGTCAGTACACTTATAAGTCATTATTTTCAGGGCATCCTTATTGCTGGCAACCCAGAGCAGAAAGCCAAATATCTGCCCAAATGCGCATCAGGAGAGACCATGGCCGCCTTTGCCCTGACTGAGCCTTCCAGTGGATCAGATGCAGGATCCATCAGGTCTCGCGCTGTGCCATCTGAGGACGGTTCTCACTATATCCTCAATGGATCCAAGATTTGGATCAGCAATGGAGGTTTGGCTGAGGTCTTCACTGTCTTTGCTCAGACACCTGTGACTGATCCTAAGAGTGGTAAGTTAGATTCTTTAAACCATTTTTTTTTTTTAGTATTATTTTCCTCTGTATCTATCTTTTGTATGTCCTTGTTTCTTTTTATTCCTTTTCTATTTCTTTTTTCTTTTCTTTTCTTGGTTATCTATTTTTTTTATACTGATTTCACTGTCTTCCTTTTCTTTTCTTCCTCTGACTCTTCCCTCTCCAAGCTTTTTCATTTGCTGTCCTCCTGTCCTCCGTTATTGTCAATTTAGTAATTCTCACATTTTTTCTTCTTCCTTCTTCTTTACCCTCTTTTATCTTTTTCTTCTATCTCCTTGATCCTTAAATTTTAAAGCCATCTCCTTAATTTTCACCAAAGTTTTTATGACTCCCCATCATGAAGAAGCTTGCACTAAAAGTTTTATTGTCGGATTACAAACATTTAAAGTACTTACAATAAGGGTTGTGGTATGTGAAAAGCAAAGGGATCTTCAGTCAGGTAGCATATGTGAGTATGCTTTTGTGGGCAAGATTCAAGCTGAGCAAATTTTAAATAAAGCAATGATAGGAAGAGCAAAAGAACAAATACTGCATGAGCATATTTGTGTGCTTTCTTGCTCTGTCTTTAAAAGTGTGATTTACTGTTTGTGTCTGTGTATAAATTTACTTAATTATGTATATGCGTATATTCTGCAAATACTATTGAAAACCACTGGTTTGAAGATCAGAGTTAGAGTATGAAAATTAATAGATCAATCTCCCTTCTTTCAGGTGTCACCAAGGACAAGGTAACCGCCTTCATCGTGGAGCGAGCATTTGGTGGAGTGTCGCATGGCCTCCCTGAGAAGAAAATGGGCATCAAAGCCTCAAACACAGCCGAGGTCTACTTTGAGGACACCAAGATCCCCGCAGAGAATGTGCTTGGGGGTGTTGGCAATGGATTTAAGGTGAGGTAGTTTTGACTTTGATTTTGATACAGCAATGTGCATTTGAAATTTGAAGCATTCTTTATAAGTTTTATGATATCTTAATTATATTATTTCATTGCAGGTTGCCATGGAAATCTTGAACAATGGTCGCTTCGGTATGGCTGGTGCTCTCTCTGGGACTATGAGATATTCCATCAAGAAGGCCCTTGACTTCGCCACAACTCGTATCCAGTTCGGCCAGAGGATCGACAGCTTTGGCACCATTCAGGTTAATTTCTGGTTTGGGTTATAAGTTGGCCTAATATGTGTGTGATTGCAGTTTTAGTTTAAGTCAACTTTATTGTATGTATAATTTTGATATGGATTAAATTATCTATATTCATATTTTTTTATTTATAAAGTCTTCGATGCCACCTTTGATTTGAAAGAATTATATATAAAAAACTATTTTTATTTTATTAGTGTTGGAGCAAACATATTTTTGGAAACCAATTCCTGTAGTAAGAAGATCAGAGATGATGATTCCATGGTATGAAAGGCAAGAGATATTTAAAAAAAAAATCTCTACCCACAGGAGAAACTGGCCCGCATGGCGATGCTGCACTATGTGACTGAATCCATGGCCTACATGATCTCCAGCAACATGGACTCTGGTTCAAAGGACTATCACCTTGAAGCAGCTATCAGCAAGGTAAGTAATGTTTTGGGATTGAATATTACAAGGATGGAAAGACCTGGGTTTATGATGAATGATGTATAATTAGTGAAAAAAATTGATGTCCCAACCTGAGTAGATGTATGAAGTGGAGAAATTTTGATGTCCTAATTCTTTTGAGAACAATATGAAGCAGTACCTGTATTTTGGAACTATCTTGGAATTCAGACTGTCCTGTAAAACACAGGATTTTAAAAATAAAGCTTTTAATGGGACTTGTATCTTTGCATATCACTACAGATTTCTCCACAAAGTTTGTTTGAAAGTGGTAGAAATCGAAGGCTTAAATTTCTTCAAGAATTTCTAAATTTGTAGGCAAAACTAATGTATGATTTTTTTTTTTTTTTCATACTTAACAGTAAATTTCATTCTTAACAAAAAGGAAGTATTGAAGGAGAAGGACTTCAGAGCATTTCCCGCACTTAATTTCTCTCTCTCTTGGTTCTAGGTGTTTGCTTCAGAGGCAGCGTGGACAGTGACAGATGAGGCTATCCAGGTGATGGGCGGCATGGGATTCATGAAGGAGTCTGGCCTTGAGAGAGTCATGAGGGACCTCCGCATCTTCAGAATCTTTGAGGGAACCAATGACATCCTGCGACTCTTTGTGGCATTAACAGGTGTGTTATAAAATGGGATGGTGATTTATTTTGTAATTTAACCCAGTTTTGCCCGGAAATCAGACTGTCTATTCTTTGGGATTCCACATTGGATGTCCCAAGCTTGTGCACTATCTACCCTGACTAACTTTACTATGAAACCTATTCCTGCTGAACCTCACTCGTCTCTTAATACTGTACCAGAACAGTTTCTGTCTTCCCAACTGATTGTCCTGTCTATGACAAGGACTGCAAAAACACCCTGCTTGTCTGCCTTGTCAACTACGATGCAATGGCAGTACAGTGTTATGCTATTCCTTTCAGAAGCCAATGAAAGTCCTACACCAATATTACCAAGATTAGCTTCCATATACATGACCTCCCCCATTAAGTTGATATTGATGGAGTGGCCTGCACTGTCAGACCATATTAACCCCTTCCCCATCAATGTCAGAAATGTTGGCTTTTTCCCCACCCAGCCAAAAATTGTTACTCTACAGCTGGCTGCAGTCTGTTTGCCCAGTCTGATCATGACTGCTCTTATTGCTCTGCTGAGTCATGCACTTGTGCCAATGATGGTAGCTCCCATAATGTATTTTATAGGAGCTGCCCTGCCTACAAGCTCAAATCTGAGACAGCAGTTCTCGGATTCAAACTAGGCCTCACTCTACATGAGGCCAGTAAGGTGCATACCAATGAGGTTTTTCTTTCTACCTTTTCCAAAACTGTACTTCGCTCTGCTACCCACCCATCTTCTCAAAATGTCTCAGCAACTCTCCTAGTATCTCTTTCCACTACCCCCACCATCCTATCTCTACTCCCTGCCTCCCCATGTCCAATTCCTTTTCCGGTCTAAATCCAGATACTCCAATCTCTACCACTTTTCTGATGCCCACCCCTCCACCTTCTCACTCTACCTGTTGGACCAGGCGATCTAAATGTTCCATCCCATCTTTTCCTGCCACAGCCTCTCCTCCACCCACCTCTCTCTCTGCTCCCTGGACATCTATCCCCTCTTCTCCTTCTCACAAGAAGCCTTTGTTTCTCAGACTTCCCCACCCGACTCTCTCTCCAGAAACTCTTGAAGACATCCAGACTTTCTAAACATGACCCAAGAGAGAATACTCAACTCCCTCATCCTCCCTTCAATCCCTCTATTCCTATTAGCTCTACATTCAAAGTGTTTGTCAATATCCATCCCATTCCTCAAGTTTCCCCAACCCTTCTGCCTCCCACTCTCCCCCAGAATGCCTCATCCTCTCCTTTACATGCACCAAGGTTCCCTATTCTTTCCCCATTATCCTTACCACTCCCACCTGGATGCTCACCTGACACTCTTCTGTTGCAATAGTGTCCTTCTCTGAATCCTTCTCCTCCTGACATTCTTCCTGATACTTCACTATCTTCACCCTTAACCCCTTCCCCTTTACTTCTCCAACTATCATCTCTACCCACATTACCTGTAGATTGTTTCATTATGACTTTTGCAGTTACTCTCCCTTCCTCAGACACTTAGATACTCTCCATTTGATCTAATCACCCTTCACCCTTAACCCTTTACAAATCCCCACCTTAACCCT